ACGATTAAAGTATAGAGAGAAATTTTTAATTAGAATTGAGTTTCATTGTTGCAAACTGTACTGTAAAGTAAGTTTTTTGTGCATTTAGAAAAGTTATTGAATTATTTTTTTAAAAAAAAAAACCTAACTTAATCCTTAAATGAGGATCTCTGAGATATTCATTTTCCGGCTTAAATAGTACAGGCAGGGAAAAAGATACACACAATTATGCAGTGAAAGAAACTGAACAAAGCCCAAGAGAATGAATAGAAAAGGAAAGGGAGAGAGATATTGGGGACTCATTTTAGGATTTACTGTTTTGCAACACAGTTGGAGGGGGAAGCTACAAAGGATTGTCATAAAGAACAATTATGAAATGTGGGTGCTTAAGTGACACTTTCCACTAAAGCTGTTTTAAACAAATTGGCTATTATTAGAAGTAATGCTGCTCTATTTAAAGAACAGGTTCTGTAGAAGTACACGTTTTTTCCTAAGGTGGAGAACTAACTAGTTTAGTATTTTTCCTAGAGTTTACTGAGTATGTGTATATATGTGTGTGTGTGGAGGGGGAGGAAAGATTCATAAAGAATAAAATCAGAGACCCATACCTGTCAATACCCATCACTAAATGAAAGCAAAGCTTGGAAATTCTATTTTTTAAAAGTAATTCATCACTCATTTCTTCTTCTTCTTCTTCTTCTTCTTCTTCTTCTTCTTCTTCTGATTATTATTATTATTATTATTGCTGTTGCTTACTCATCGGTCAACAAAATTGGAAAACAAAACAATGGTCCACAGATTGGAAACATTTAATATACATTCCAGTCCTCTAGAAAGAGGACACCAGGAATTGTTGGGATCACAGGACCACTGCACTATTTTCCCATGCAACAAAACTCTCACTATACACAGAGCAAGATGTCCCAGCTGGATTCAGGAAAGCAAGAGGCACTGGAGATCATATAGCAAACATATACTGGATAATGAAATGTACTAAGGAATTTAAAAAGAAAATCAGCCTGTGCTTTATAGATTATAGCAAAGGATTTAATAGTTTTTTGTGGGTTTTTCAGGCTATGTGGCCATGTTCTAGAAGAGTTTCTTTCTGACATTTCGTCAGCATCTGTGCTGGTGAAATGTCAGAAAGAAACTCTTCTAGAACATGGCTACACAGCCCGAAAAACCCACAAAAAACTATGGATGCTGGCCATGAAAGCCTACGACTTCACATTTGATTGAATAGTTCACAAAAAACTATGAATCATTCTTAAAGAATGTGCCATAACATTTAGTCCTGATGCGTAACCTGTATTCAGAACAAGAGGCTACTGTTAGGATAGAATATGGAGGAAATGAATGATTTCCAATTGGCAGAGGGGTCAGGCAAGGCTGCATTTTATCACCCTATCTGTTTAACTTGTATGTCAAAAATATCATATGTAAAGCAGGATTAGACTTGGAAGAAGGAGACGTGAAAATCGGAGGAAGGAACATCAGCAATCTAAGATATGCAGATGACACCATACTACTACTAGCAGAAAATAGCAAAGATCTGGAAGGATTATTGTAGATAGCCGAGGCAGAAAGTGCAAAGGCAAGTTTATAGTTGAACATTAAGAAAACAAAAGTAATGACCGTAGACCTATATGGCTCATGTCCAGGCTATTTGGCAAACCGTATGTCCTGTTATGAGCTGGCCCAGGCTCTGAGATCATCAGGAGAGGCCCTTCTCTCAGCCCCACCACGATCACAAGCACGGATGATGGGGACTCGAGAGAGGGCCTTCTCAGTGGCTGCCCCTAGACCAGGGGTAGGCAACCTTTCCCCTTTAAGGGCCGAGGGACTTCAGCTCCCAGAAGCCTCAGCCATGTTGGCCAATAGTCCCATGTTGGCCAATAGCTCCTGGGATTCTGGGAGCTGAAGTCCCTCGGCCCTTAACGGGGAAAGGTTGCCTACCCCTGCTCTAGACTTTGGAACTCCCTTCCCAGGGAGACAGAATGGCCCCTTCCTTGTTGTCCGGCAGGCTAAGACCTTCCTGTTCAGACAGGCATTTAAAACAGAAAGTTTTTAAAGGATGGTCTAGGGTGTTACATTGGTTTAAAGTGTTTTAAACATTTTTTACCTTTTTAACAGTATTTTATTCTTTTAACATGTAATTTGTTTCAATATTGTAATAATTTAATGCTACTTTAATGTACTGTTTTTAAATTTTGTAAGCTGCCCTGAGTCTCAGTTTTGGGGAAAGAGCATAATAATAATAATAATAATAATAATAATAATAATAATAATAATAATAATAATAATAATAGACAAGCAACATAATTTTAAAGTAGAAGATGAGGACATAGAAATGGTTCATGTTTTTTCAAACATCAGCTCAGTCATTAATCAGAGTGGAAACTGCAATCAAGAAATCCGTAGAAGACTAGGACTCGAAGGGCAGCTATTAAGGAACTAGAGAAGATCCTGAAAAGTAGACATATATAGCTGAATACTATAGTTAGGATGGTCCACACCATAGCATTCCCCATCTCTATTCATGGTTGAGAAAGCTGGACAGTGAAAAAAGTTGACAGGAAAAAAATTAACTCATTTGAGATGTGCTGGAGAAGAGTTCTGTGAACACTGTGGACAGCTGAGAAGACCAATGGATGGCTGCATTAGGGAAATCAGGCCTGAATTCTTCCTAGAAGCGAAGATGACTAAACTGAGGCTGTTATGGTTTAGCCATATCATGACAAAAAGGATTCACTAAAAAAGACAATAAAGTGGAGCACAATAGGAGAAGAGGAAGACTGCATTCCAAATAGATTCAATCAGAAAGGCGACAGCAAGACCTAAGCAGGGTAGTTGAAGACAGGGCAACTTGGAGGTCTCTCATTCATAGGGTTGCCATAGGTCAAAGTCAGAGTCAAAGATGGCATTTAGCAACAACAACAATTAATTGAAATAATTATGTGTTTGTTTGTTGGTTTACTTTTTAGATTTGTAAAATATATTAGAGAGAGAGAGAGAGAGTCAATCCACATGACTCCCACCCAAAGCAATGTTTTAGGCATAATGAGAAACTTTTATTCATTGTTCTGAACAGTAACGAAGTTAAAAGCCATTGTGTTACTTTTTAAAAGTTGATAGCCTAGGCATAATGGTAATAGTGTTGGTTCTAATCCATTTGTTTCCAAACTCTGGATGAAACAGCATAATAATAGGATACTTCTCTTCTCCATCCATATTCCTAATACCATTTGTGCTGGTATTAGAGGCCAGGGCAGGTGCTTTCTTCATCCCATAAATGACAATACAGTTACATGCAAACCCATGTTGGGTTGATAGAGTCTTTGGACAAAGTGGTCTGGAGTGGAGCATGATAACTCAGTGGGAAGGCCCTTCTAATTCTCTTTGCCCACCTGTCTGTACCATTCACATGCAGAACCTAGCTATGTCAGATCATTTGAAGAACAAGTGTAGCTATGGTTCTATGGAAGATGGGTTATAGCAGCTTTTAGCTTGATGCCCTACAGATATTTTGCATTACAACTTCGATCAGCTCCCACAAAAGTAGTCAGTGGGTATTTTTCCTGGAAATTACATTATGAAACATCTACAGAACACCTGATTGGGAAGGCTATATAGTATAATATTCTGTGTTGAGATTACATGTTGTATAGTGCCATTATATGGACTGTTTCACACATGACATATAGGTCCTACACTGTAGCATAAATAGTGAAACCTGTGTTTTTACTTTATTTTATGTATATTCTTCAGAAAGTTCTAATATTTTCCCATGCTATGTATGTGTTTTGAAGTGTTTAAGACAAAGGTGTGTATCATACATAATAACATAGTAGGTGTTGAAGATAAAGAGAAGCATGAGATAACCAAGAGCAGATGCAATTATATATACCTGGTTGTTGTTGTTATTGTTTGGGGGGAGGGTTGCTTAAGGAGAAGGGATAAGATGTTTGGCCAAAAGTCCCACGAAGCAAATGGGCTCTGAGAAATGTGGAGAAGAGAATCCTTGTTCGTTGGCACTCTGCCCATAGGATATAAAATAGTAATTTTTCTTTTTGTTAGTTTTCATGTTGCTGTAGCAGATGAGTATAAAGTGTTCTCAATTGTGTTTTTTATAGTTGATATTTTAATGTAGTGCTTTTGCTTTTATCAGGTCACAGAAGGTCAAGAGATCTGTGTCATTGAAGCTATGAAGATGCAGAACAGTTTGGTTGCTGCAAAAACTGGCAAGGTATATATATTAGGATATTATAGTTCTGTTCTACTAGTGAAGCTTTGTGACAGCAAGTTACATAGAGGCTTCGTTTTTTAAAAAAAATTACACAAAATATTCTTCAGAGGTCTTTAACTTTGGCATCAGTTTTGAACTACATTGTACCATTCTGAAACTGTAATGATGCACAGTTGTTGCTTTTAAATATATAAATGTTTTACAGTTGTCCAAAATGACAACTTTTTTTTTCTTGGCTGCAGTCTTTTTGTTCTGATTCAGATCTAGATCATTGACTGGATTTGCTTGGACAGTTATGAATGGGTAACCATTGATGTAGCTACGCAGTGACTCCTGGACCAATCCCCACATAATCGGGCAGCAGCCGCTGCAATCCCCAGGAGTCTGTTTCCCTGTAATTCAGGAAGCAACTACCCACTCCAGTAAACAGTTTCGAGTCAGAAGCAGGGTCCCCATGGCAATTCTCCCACATACCAGAGATCACTTGTGCAAGGGGGAAGGTGAGAATGTTAGTCAGCTGCTTCCCAATCAACACAGTCCCCATGTATCCCATAAACTAGAGAATACGTGGGAATCATGAATATGAAACAACCACAAATGAGTCATTCTAGGTTACACATTTCTAACTGACTTAGTGGATTCTGGCCCACATGCTGTTGTCGTTTTGTGTCTTCAAGTGACTTCTGACTCTGACTTATGGCAACCAATATATCATGGGGTTTTCATGGCAAGACATAGAGGAGGTTTGTCATTGCCTTCCTCTGTGTCATCCAAGGGCGAGCAGGGATTTGAATCCTGGTCTCCAGAGCCCAAGTCCAACACTCAAACCACTAGGTCATGCTGGCTCTTGAAGCCTCTCATACAGTCACATATCTGTGGAACTACACAGATGACAAAGCTAAGTGAGATGTTCATATTGGTAGAATTAACCTGTTAGGTTTATAGGACCTTTCTGAACATGTATGGTGTAAAATAGTTTTGTTTTTGTTTTTTGTTTTTGAAAAAAAATGCATGTATAAATAACATTACACTTTCATGTCATCTGTGCATTTCAATTTAAAGCTTTAGAGTTTTGTCAGCAACAAATGCAGAAGTCTTGTAGTTAGGAGTACTTGCATGTTGCAGAATTATGGGCACTGAGAAGCATTTTTAAAAAACATTCAGGGCTTGGGCCACAGTATGAAAGGGTACATAAAATTTGGATAGGCTAAGCTCTGTACAGATATTTCCAGTAATTAATTTGAATTTGAATTGGCTCTGTTCTCACAGTCGAATCACTATTGCTTCCTTCTCACTGCAGGTAAAAGCTGTGCACTGCAAAGCTGGTGAAACTGTTGGGGAGGGCGATGAGCTTGTGGAGCTGGAATGAAATAATTTCTTCCATACCTTTGCACAGTTGGACTACCGCCTTTTTTAAATTCATCCACAAATTTAAATGAATGTTACGACAGTAAGAGAATAATGTAAACTCAAGTGTTGGTATAACCTTTCTTTAAAATAACATGTTGCACAAGAGGTAACGGGCCATATGGTTCACCCTGCACAAACATAAAATGAAATTGCCTCTGGATCTCAGTTTCACTCCTTTATAAATACTTGTATATATGAGATTTGTAATTCTCTTCAACAATTCTACTGGTATGAAACAAATCAATAAAATGAAACCTTTTGGCATAAAAGTGTTGCATATTATTCAACTCCTTTTCCACTTTGAAAATTTAGCTTGCATCTATATACATAGTAGAATGAACTGCACCATAGGTTTCAGTTTTTTTATAATTCTCATAATATAAAATTTCCTTCCAGAAATTAGCATAGCAGGAAGTTTTCTGCATACAGGTAGGAATTTTGGGG